TGTAGTCTCCTTGCATAAAGCCTCTTGCCCCGAGCTGGCGGCTGCAGAAGCTGGCCTTCCAGCTCCTGCCACAGCAGCTCCAATAACACACAGGAGGGCTCCGGCTGGGCAGGCACGAGGTACGCACGAAACATAGGGCCTGAGCGGAGCGGAAGTCTCAAGCGAAACTAACAAGGAAAGAAGTTTGTTAGAAAACACTTCTGTTTCTCAACTTCTCTAACACAGCTTGATTTGACTGTTTTGTTAACAGTAGTTACATGTAGCTCACTGAATATCACAAAACACATGCAGTTCTCTGAGCCTCACTTTTTCTTTCCAGCCTCAGAGCCACTGCTGGGTCACATTAACCCATCCTCCAAAAATGTTCTTGGAATTTGCCCAGGTGATCTATCCTGCCCAGTTGTCAACCTGGCTGCTCCCTTATGTGAAGGAAAAATAATCTAGTGGGAAAACATCCTACTATATTAAAGAAGATGTGAGTTATAAGGCACATTTCCTAATAATGGTTTGTCTTTTGGGGGCAGGTCCCTTCATCCCCTAGTACCTCCAGTTTTAATTTTGTAGGATAAAGATAAGATGCTAGTCCCATACCTATTATGGACAGGCATGCTCTGAAAATAAATAAACCAAGGCATGTCAATCCAAGAACTACTTTGAAGTAAATCCTTTGTAAAGTCAGAAAATTGAAGTTATTGTTGCAGTGATGTAAGTAGGTGTAAATGCTCAGCAAGTCTTAACTACATAAACATAAGGAAGTGGAAGGAATGTGGTGTTATGCCAAAAAGAATAAATGACTGACACCTCCCCCACCTTTTTTCCCTTATTTCCAGGGTGTATGCAAGTTAACATTTTTTTAAAGTGCCCAATTCCTTCTTGTGAAGCTTTTGCTAAAACCAGTAAGTTTAGACTATCTGGTGAAAAACCATATCCTCTTGTTATTGATGTTTTACAGCATTTAAATATTTTGACCTGAATGCTAAAGAACAAAGTCAATTGTTTAACTAAAAAAGGCAGAATGTAAATATTTAGCTTAGGTATTCGGAGTATCTATTTTCACAATCGCAATACTTCCTTGCACATGTTTGAGAGAGAGTTGTAATATGGCTCTTTGAAAACCGTGGGAAATTAAAGATGAAATAAAAACCTGACCATGGATTTCCTTCCTCAATTTTAAGTGAGATCTCAATAAGGCTCTCTTATAGTTGGACATGGACTTTATTAGCTTTTTATGTGACTTCATACTACTTATTTTTGGAAAATAATAATTGCATTTTAACAGAAATGTGGTTCACAGTGGATTAAGCGAAATGTATTTCTTGGAAAGTTAAAAAAAAATATGTGGTTTCCATTTTACTCCTCTCTGGAGGCATTTATTTCCAGGTCCTGCAGATCATTTTGAACTTTGTAGTTTTGTTATCAGTCTTTAACTTTCTTGTTTGAACTTTTGATCATTTATTCCAATTTTTTTTAAAGCACATCCTGAACGCTGGCGAGGCATATGCATCTGCCTTAATGGTAGTAAGTGGATTTCTACAACTCAAGTTCTTAGCCATACTGGGGAAGGCAGGCCATGGGCAATAATGAAAATAATTTATACCAGCAGAAGGCTGCCATGGGCACCACTTGGTGCTAATTACAAGTGTTTTCCATGAATAAATTAGTTTAATCTGAATGATAACCATTCATGCTCTCATTTTAGAGAGTATGAAACAGAGGCAAAGGCCCTCAGCTTCAGTAATGTTTTAAAAGATACAGAACTTTTAAGATGTTGGATCCAGAAGAACAATATTACACATCTTAAAGTGTTTTTGTGAAAATTAAAGCAGAAAAATCACATAAATTGATAATATTTCAATAAGCATAAAAAAAAGACCATAGAATTTATGTGTAATTGCACCAAATGACCACTTTAAAATGCGACCCCTAGTGGGGATCTGAATCTGCCACCTACAAGCTGTGTGACCTTGAGCAAGTTGTTTCACTTCTCAGTTCCTCTATTTCCTCATCTGTCAACTGAGGAGAGTGGTTGAGGATTAAGCGAAATAATAAATATAAATAATTCATCATGTGTCTGGCACATGATAAACACTTATGACATATTAGCTGAGCTCAGATTTTATTTTTTGAGGTACCTATGGAAAAAAAGCATGATGCAGACAGGGTTCATATCTCAGTCCTGCCCTATTAGCTGTGTGACCATGTCAATATGTTTAACCTTCCAGAGCTACAGTTTCCTCATCTGTAAAATGACCATAATTCTTGCTCTACCTGAGTAGGGAATTATGAGGCTCCACCAAGGTAAGGGATATGACAGTACCTAAAGGGCTATATAGAATTCTGTGACTATAGTGCAATTTTATTTTTAAAGTTCCTACCCTTTGCTACTTAAAAAACACGTGTAACCTAAATGGTATACAGAGCAAGTTTTTCTTTGTGTGGTCTTTTTTTTTTTTTTTTTAATTAAACATTTCTGGGTTCCTGCTGATTCTTTTGTAAACCACTTCCTTTTGTTGAAATCTTGAACTAGTCTTGATGTAGAAACTGGCTGTTGGGGCAAGGGAGAATGAGCCAGTTTATTAAAATGATTGTCTGATTTTTGGAGAATGGTGGTCCCTTCTGGCTCTTTGTCATAGATGGCAACTCTCTCCCAATCATAGAAACTTCACCCTTTAATACTTTTAATTGACTGCATCTTGTTGTTCTGTAATTCTAGCTTGCAAAATAAGCCCTCCTAAATATATCTTCTGATGACTACTCCAGCTTGCTATGCTTTCAATTTCTCACATCTTGGGTTATTTGAAGAGGTTTATATTTACCTAATCCCTCAAGCAGCCCCAAGGGAAAGCAGGCTGCCCCCAGGCTTTAGGCATGCTGCCTGCACGCTGTGGCCAGAAGGAACAGGACTCACTTCCCTTTGTTTTTCAGGCAAGACACTATGGTTCTGACTCAGCCACACAGTTCCTTTGTTATACTCTTACTTGAATCATTGCTGCCCTTGATACTCAAATGCTGGGTTACTTTTATTTGACTCTGTTTTCTTTTTTATCTACTCATTGGAAAGCCTAAGACCTTGCCCCTTTTATTTTCCCCAAAGAGTAAAACCCAATATAAACGGATCTTCAGGTTCTGCGACTGCGGATTTCATTAGTACAATTGTCCTTGTCTTACAGGGTTGGGGAACTGAAGGAGTGAGGAAGGAAGCAGTTATTATAGAACTGGAACAAAGTTTTACTTCTATGCTTAAAAACAAAGTTATACCTCTCGTTTTTCTCCCTATTCTTCGAAGCAATGTGTCTTGTACTTCAGAGCTAAAATGTACCTTCCTCTCCTGAAATCTTGGCTATAAGCCCTGGCTCTTCAGTTCTTTTTTCTTTTCCAGGAAGATCCTTTGCAGCCAGAGCAGACGTTGGGTTGACCAGCATGGGCTGGGCAACCTTTACAGTTGAAGGAAGATCCTGATGGGAGGATCAAAGCTCAGATTGTGCTGTGATGTCTGATCCATAACCAACCTCCACCCAGCCTCCCTCCTCCTTACACTCTTTCCTCTTTATCCCCTCCTGACTCGCAGTATTCCTCAAATGCCTTCTCTTTGGGCCAAGTGGGATCTAGAACTCCAACATGGTACCCCTTTACCTTACAGCGCCCTCAGCAGAGTCCCCGTCAGCCTCAGATGGAACAGTCTGGAGCTAGAGGTCTCTCTAAACAGCCAGGCTGCCGTGAGCAGGATGTTTTGGTGTGTTTGCATCAGCTTCTTGTTGCAGAGTTTAGGAAGTGAATCTGGTAACTGTCTGAATGAAAGCACTTCCCCTTACTCTCTATGTCAAAGAGAAGTTGCCTGAAATGGATGCCAACTTTTAGGAGTGAGGACAAAGCTCTGAATTTTGAGGAGGCTTCACTGAATAGGAAAAGAACTCGGCTTCACCATCTGGACCTGGTTACACAACCATCTTCACCTCAGTTTCCTCTTGCATCAGATGAGGAGATTCTGTCTCCCTTGCCCAGTGGTTATGAGACAGCAATGAGATAATTTAAATGAAGCAGCTATTTCTCCTAGGTAGAATCAGTTGTTTTGTATACATGCTATGGACTAGGCCTCTTTGAAGTCTGTTTTGTGAGCTGCACCCACGTGATTCTTATTTCTAGTCAAGCCTCTGTGTTCTCCGTGGGTGTTTATTCCATACCCCAGCTCCTGGAGGAATGGGGGGCTTGTGGTACTCTTCCTTGTGCTGGAGTAAGGGCCACAGAAGTCAGGGCCTAAGAACTCAGGCAGGAGCTGGGCTATCTGGGTCCCAGGGCTTCTCTTCAGGAACTAGCTGTGTGACCTCAGACAAATTACTCAGCCACTCTGGGTTTCAGTTTCCCTCATCTGTAGAACATGAATCATAATGGGGGGAAAACTACAGAAAAAAAATACACAGGCAGGCTCACAGGGGCTATAAGAATTAAAAGAGAAAATCCCCAAACGTGTAAACAGTTTAGGACAGCGCCTGGTTCCAGGTTTGCTGTGACTGTTCAGAGGACCTCCCCCAGACTGCTCACCTCGTGATGCATGCTTTCCACACGCAGGCTTGCAGACAAAAGGCAGGAAAGCCCTGCTCTCCCCCCGCCCCGCTCCTCTGCAGGGACCCCACATAAATGTGCAGACTGCACAGGCTCAGTACCGAGTACTAAGTAGAATTCCGCTTCCGGTTTCTGGGTGAGACGTGGCCAGGAAGGTGGAGCGGAGTCTGGCTCACACAGTTCGGGATCCTCAGGGCACTTCCTATCAGCATCCTTAATGTCACAGCAAGGCTGTGGCCTGCAGACGGTCACTGCCTGCCCTCACACTGGGCACCCGGGTCAAGGTGAAGGCCCGTGTGGGCCCCCGCCGAAACTCAGGCTGGGCCTCTTTGGCCTCCGCTACCAGAGATGTTTCTCCTGGTCTCTCCCGTCCCCCTACACTGCTCCTCGCCCCCGCGCGCTCTTCCTTCATTTGGAAAATTCCTACTGCCCTTCAAGTCTCATCCTGGATGAAACTTCCAGAAAACATGCGATGGCCTCCAGTAAGCCTCCACAGGCCCCTCTAATTCCCTCCCGTTGGGACACCCAGGGCTCCGGGCCACATCCATTTTGGCGGTCAGTTCTGACTTGCTCTGCTTTATCTGTAACTTCTGAACTCGGGCGGAATAGATTCTAAAAATATGTTTAACAAATGATACCTGGAACACCAGAAAGTGCTGTAGAACTAAGCAGTTTTCAGGAGACATTATCCGTGCACTCTGTGGGGGTGGGGGGGTCACCCTGCCCGCTCGGGTGGGAGGCGTTGGGGGTGGGACTGCAGAGAGGCTCAGGAACATGGCTTTATTGGGAACATTCCCCTCTATTTACAATTAGGCTCATTAATGGCTGATTTAGCAACTAGTCCTGTTATACTGTTAACCCCATACCTCAGCGTTCAGTTTACGGTAGAATTTAGGGTTAAAAACTGGAGTTTCTGCACAGAGAAATGACAAAGTTAATGACTTGTAAAAAATATTGTACATTTTTCTCAAAGCTGTCTTATAATAGCTGTTTCTTGCCTATTCATTGATGGTCTAGCTTTAAAAGAAAGATTGGGAAGGCTATCCCATTGTATTTTTAGAAGTACTCAAGTGAACTCTAATAACCTGTGAGTCATGGCAACCTCCAGGACTTTTGGTGTCCTCCCTAGCAGATGATATATTACTGCCTGCCTGCCTCAGTGTCTTTGAAGGAATTCTGCAGATCAAGGGTCAGGCCTTCTCAGGAGATTTGTTCTAAAACAATCATCAGCTGGGCTGGAACAACATTTAAAATATTTCTAGGCTTGCTAAGAACACCGTGTATAGATAGCATCTCACTCACCCCAGAGTTTTTATCCTCTGCATCTTTGAGCTGTTTCCTCGGGGACCACGCCCCCATATCACACATGACACCTGGCAGGAGCAATGGTATAACTAAGCCTTTCTGCTTTATCAGGACTTTTTTTTTTTTTAAGAAAAGAAAACTGGAGATTATCATACTCAGTGAAGTAAATAGGATAGAGAAAGACAAACACGTATCACTTATATGTGGAATCTAAAAAAAATCATACAAATGAACTTATTTACAAAGCAGCAGCAGCAGACTCACAGACTTAGAAAACAAACTTACGGTTACTGAGGGGGTCAGGTTGAGGGGAGGGATAAATTGGGAGTTTGAGACTGGCATATGCTGCTGCTGCTGCTGCTAAGTCGCTTTAGTCGTGTCCGACTCTGTGCGACCCCATAGACGGCAGCCCACCAGACTCCCCTGTCCTTGGGATTCTCCAGGCGAGAACACTGGAGTGGGCTGCCATTTCCTTCTCCAATGCATGAAAGTGAAAAGTGAAAGTGAAGTTGCTCAGTCTGTCCAACTCTCTGCGACCCCATAGATTGCAGCCTACCAGGCTCCTCCATCCATGGGATTTTCCAGGCAAGAGTATTGGAGTGGGGTGCCATTGCCTTCTCCAGATTGGCATGTACACACTACTAAATTTAAAATAATAACCAACAACGACCTACCATATAGCATAGGGAACTACTTAATATTCTTTAATAACCTAAATGGGATGGGCTTCCCTGGTGGCTCAGATGGTGAAGAGTCTGCCTGTAATGCAGGAGACCCAGGTTTGATCCTTGGGTCAGGAAGATCACCTGGAGAAGGAAATGGTTACTCACTCCAGTATTCTTACCTAGAGAATTCCATAGACAGAGGAGTCTAGTAGGCTATTTTCCATGGGATCGAAAAGAGTCGGATATAACTGAGTGACTAACACAACCTAAATGGGAAAATAATTTGAAAAAGAATAGATGTATGAATATTTATAACTGAACAACTCTGTTGTACACCTGAAACTAACAAAACACTCCAAATCAATTATACATTAAAAAAAGAAAACTTTTGTTCGTCTTTGATTCTAGGCTCGTAAAATCTTTTACACCCCCAAGGAACTTATCTTCCAGATAAAATGTGAATTGCAGTGAAAATGGTGACATGTGTATCAAGTCTTAAAACGTGCTGTGACTTTGGAGCCATCCTGAGGCTTTATCCAACAGTATATAGTTTTATCATTTTAACAAATGACATGAAATTTTATACTTACTGGTGAAACTCCCAGTTCTTATTTTTCTTTCTCAACCAGAGGAAACTAGAAAAAGTAAAACATTTTTGCTTTAGAATTGGATTTATTTTTGGTTTATTTGTTGATTCTGGGCCCCTTACAAGCCTCCATGTGGAGAGTAAGGTCCTCAGTCTGTGGACCAGGCTTCCCCTGCTGCCTCTGGTACGGACCAGGGCACACACAGGGACATATCACTTAACTTTCTGATGGGCAGTTTCCTAATCTGAAAAGCACAGGTAACATATCTCCCTCACATAGTTGATGTCTATGCCCAGCACATATTGGGCAACAAGAATTTTTAAATGTGAATTTAGGTTGTTTTTTAAGGTACATATTTATAGGAAGAAAACTTTAATTGAGCCCTAAAACCAGAGTCTGGGTTTTGCTACTTCTTAGTCTGAACAAGTTAACTTGGAAACAGAATCTTTAGGGTCTAAGCCCTTTGTCTTAGAAATGATGAAACTGATGTCCAGAAAGCTGAAGGGCTTTGCCTAACATCATGCAATGAGCTAGTGACTGGGTGTTGACCATAAATAAGGAGTCAAGGGGTACCTGGTCCGAGGGTTTTCCAGTCGTACTGTCCTGGCTTTGGTAAAGTGTTAGCCATTCAGTCGTGTCTGACTCTTTGTGACACCATGGACTGTAGCCCATCAGGCTCCTCCATCCGTGGAACTCTCCAGGCAAGAATACTGGAGTGGGTAGCCATTCCCTTCTCCAGGGATTCTTCCTGATCCAGGGATCGAACCCAGGTCTCCTGCGTTGCAGACAAATTCTTTACCAACTGAGCCATCAAGGAAGCCCTTTGGTAAAGAGCTATGTAATTTCATTATAATGTATTAATGTTTTTTCAGTGTTCACCTAATTTGATATTCTGAGTTCCCAAAAAAAAGGTGCTTTAGATACAAACAGGAAAATGGGCAACCATGACTGACCAGTAGGAAATTATAGAGCAGAGAGCCTTAGAGTTCAGCTCTATCGCAGAAATTTTGAGGCTCAGAGAGGGTATTGTTAGTTTGGACTTACACATGGACACACAGGCTAGGCTCCTGATTCCCTTTCTTCCCTCTCATATCACAGCTGCCTCATTTTGATGGGAAATGGAAAGGTGGAACATGTACTATATGTTGTTGGAAACCTTCACAGTGACTGGTAAAATGCTTGACATGTCATAAGGCCCTCTAGATGCCTTCTAAATTATATGACAAACTGCTACCAGAACTTTCAACATAGAATATTGGGTGGGATTTACAACCAGAATGCACCCATGTGATCACCACCCTGATCCAGGAACAGAACATTATCAGCATTCTAGAAGCATCCTGCATGCCCCTCATCGAGGTAGGCATCCTAGCCTCACTTCTGAGAGCATAAGTTCGTTTTCTCCTGTATTTATACTTTAAGTATAAATGGAATAAAGTAGTAAGTATTCATTTGTGTATGGCTTCTTTTGGGGAATATTTTGATGTTGACTTAGATCTGACGGAAGTAGAATTCCAAATGGGGGGCTCAGTGAAGGGAAAAAGGTCTTTTGCATATTGCAGTTTCATATTAATGATGAAAACTGGTGTCAGTATAGCAGTTGATTAGAAAGAGTGTTGTAGGTATAACTGAGTTGCAGCCTGTTCTTATTGGTAAGATTTTTGTGCTTTAAATAATTCATTTGACACTAAATTATAATTTTTAGTTAGGTCAGTTTATGGAAGTAATACAAAATTGAGGAAGGAAAGTGAAAAATATAAAACTCTCTTGTGTCCTTCTCTTCAATTTATTATTTTTAAAATACATTTTGGTGTTATGTTCAGAAGAGAATGGTGACTTTTCTAAGTAAATATTCTATTCTAAATAAATAGAAACTGTTGAATAAAGAGTCCAGATGATTCTGTCTTAGTTATCTTTTTCTTCCTATTGTCTAACTAAATTCCATCATATAGTAGGTATTCAATAAATAATTGCTCCTGGAATGGACTTCCCCAGTGGCTCAGCAGGTAAAGGATCCGCTTGCCATGGAGGAGCCTCAGGAGACATGGTTTCGATCCCTGGGTCAGGACGAGGCCCTGGAGGAGGAAATGGCAACCCATGCCAGTATTCTTGCCTGGAGAATCCCATGAACAGAGGAACCTGGCGGGCTACAGTCCATGGGGTCACAAAGAGTCAGACATGACTGAGCACATGAGTATAGCTCCTAGAATAAATGAATGATTAAATAAGTTGAAACAAGATGGCAAACAGAGTGGCACAACTTTGTTATTCTAGAGAATATGGACCATCAGAGTAGTGAGGAAGAAGAGACTTAACATTCTTGCTAGATATTGGAAGAGTTTTGGAAGTAGCTTTGCCTTTGGGATCTGGAGTCAAACAGTTGTAATCAGTAGCGGAGGGTGCTAGTTACCTCCTAGCGTCCCTTTTTTTTGCTTCTTTGAGTGATGAGATTCCTGAGTATTAGCAAGGCACACACCTACTCAGGTAGAGACAGTAATTCATAGCATCCTTTGCAGCCACAAGACTAAGTTCTTAATAATGGGAAGTCAGCAAAAGGGAGGTGGTACCTTCTGAATATTACTTTCAAAAGACAATTCCTGCTGGGTGAGAGAGGGTGACATTCAAATAGCTAAAGAGCACCCAGAGATGAAGGTCACATATTGGTAGCAGAGTCTCCCTGCTTGCCTCTGTACAGTTAGGTGAAAGAGAAGCAAGTTCCTATGTTATGAAGACATTGTATTTTGGGATTTCTTTTTCTAAATTTAAAAAAGATCTTAGCATGTATCCAAATTTTTTCAGATGTCATCATCGAAATCTTTGTTAAAAACAACCCAGCAAACAAACAGAAAAATCCTCACATCCCAAAAGAATGAAAGTTAACAAACTGTATCAACTGCCATCACACAGAGACCATGAAGCCTTATGCTAGGTTTTTCATGCAGACACATAGTTCAGTTCAGTTCAGTTCAGTCGCTCAGTCGTGTCCAACTCTTTGCGACCCCATGAATCGCAGCCCACCAGGCCTCCCTGTCCATCACCAGCTCCCAGAGTTTACCCAAACTCATGTCCATCGAGTCGGTGATGCCATCAAGCCATCTCATCCTCTGTCGCCCCCTTCTCCTCCTGCCCCCAATCCCTCCCAGCATCAGGGTCTTTTCCATTGAGTCAGCTCTTTGCATGAGGTGGCCAAAGTATTGGAGTTTCAGCTTCAGCATCAGT